CTAATAAACTTTGCTTACTGAGAACCTTAATTGCTGTCTTTTCTTAGCTCCAACAACGACTGAAAGTATGAACACAGAGAGTACGACGGCTCAGACGTCAACTACAGAAAGTAAGACATGGTCAATAATCTGCTCAAAGGGGTCATCACCTTAACGTTTGGATGCAGTTTGTATGTCCCTATGACCCCTAGAGATATTGTCGGCTGGAGTCTTGTACTCCTGTTAGGGCCAACTATGCCGAACAGGTCGAAGGGTATAGATAAGACAAAGAGTGATCTCCTGGTCCTCAAAGTTGGGGATTGAGCACAATGGGCTAACGACCCTACTCTGTAAAAAAATGTAGTGTTACTGAAACCGGAACCATTATCGTGAATAGACCCAAACTAGTAGTGATAATGGCGCAGAGCAGAGAGGGTTAGACGAATAGTGTGAAGTTATTATGCAGCTCCTGGCGCGATGAGTCACATTGATAATGATTAATTGGAGATTCTAAGATCCTACCTCACCTTAAAAAAGGCTTCATCATAATAATCATTAGCTTTCTTGTTATCATACTACTTATTTGTTGTACTCTTGCATGGTATTAAAGAAATCAAAACAGAACTACGAATCATTCAAGAGTGGAAGGATGAATTAAAGAACCCCAAAAGCAGGGCCTTCATTCAACTTGCAAACAAACTCAAGAAAGAGGTAAAACTTTCAAAAATGAAGGTCATAATTATTATCTCTATACGATTCATAGTTGCATTCATATATGCCTATGGCTTTCTACGAAAGTGCATGGTCTTTAACTTATGATGGTCAATTCCCTCATATCTCCCTTGCGCCATCTCCCTTACTCTATCCACCTATTCTCCCCATTTTTTTCGAATTTCTATATTTGTAACAAATACGTTTTCAAAAATCTTTTATCCCTTTAAGATATGGTTGGCATTTGCAAGGAGCAAGACCTTGAACAAGGTTGATGTGCTGTCGTTCAGGTGAGTGGACGGCATCAGGGCAAACGTTTTTGTTCATTAAACATACATTCACTATCAATAGCTATTCTTGTAAGAAAAAGGTACCTCTATAAGAATGCTATATATTATATCAATTTATCATATAATTATCCATAAAATACCTATATTTCTCCTTTTCGAAAAATTGTTATTTTCACATGTGAAAATAACATGTTATTTCCACATGTGAAAATATCGGAACCACGGTATTTAAACTATTAGTTTATAAATAAAAACTTTTTATAATAACAAAAAGCTTATTTAGTTGATTTTATGGATAATTATATAATAAACAGAATATTACATGGGCGCTTGGAGATACGAAATTTATCTTCTCGTGTTGAAAATCTCTCACTCCGTCGCTGCGCTCACTCGTGAGAGATCTTTTCAACACTCGAAGATAAATTTCGTATCTCCACGCTCCCATGCAATATCCTCTATATATTTTTATCATTTTTTTCCGCAGAAAAGGAAGTATAGTTGCTGAAATGCTATTGGTTTTTACTTCAAAACAAGACGATCCACTAAAACTGCTTAGAAACCGTATCAAAAATGGCCAATTGGGAGACATGAGTGTAGATCCTACCTCCTTGAAGATTGTCAAGAACAAGGAAGGTAATCGATGACGTGCACAGTCCAAAACCTAACGGCTATACAATCAGTCTGCCAACCGTAATAATAAGATCGGTTAGATCCCAACTGAGTACTTTTGTGGCCATCTAAATTAAGATTTTTTAAACTATTACTACTGGTCTTTCATTTTCTTTTAGATGAAACGTCAACTGAAAAATCCAGCCATTTAGTCCCCATATTGGTCTCTGTTGCGGTTGTGTTAGCTGTTCTAGTGCTAGGAATGGTGATCATTATCAAGTGGAGAGCACGACAACAAAACCGCGCAGCTGTAAAGCGGTTAGTCGACAGATTGTCTGGCAATCCATCAGATCCTTTGCCAGGTACAAGAAAGTATGATGTCGAGTTGGCGAACACAATCAAGTACAACCTCCAGACGGATGGATCAGTGGTTCGCAGCAAGGAGAAATGGGTTGATGACTCAATGGTGCTAGACAATCCCAAATTCAAGGAATAGAATCTGCCTTGACCAAGTGTTCAATCACTGACAACGCACTGATATGTATATTTGCACACGGTATAATCATAAACGTTTGGCTATTGCTTGCATTTAATAGCTGCTTGATTTAAACGAATACAATTCAGCAAAAGCATTTTTAGACAATGATCGATATGTTTTAGTTGGTCGTAAGTACCAAAATAGATATTAAGCCAATCGTAAGCTAAGCTTATTTGACTTATACATTTCCAGCAAATGCTGCGTTTTCATTATAGCCCCAGATTGTAGAGTTATTATGTTTGTAATTTGTTAGCTTTACTAGGCATATATGATGAAATTCAGGTATTGAGCAGCACGATTCTAGTTTTAGGATACTATTGTAATAGTCTACTCTGCATAACCCTCGTGGGTCCAGCCGTTCGGCTATCATTAAGTCTCATTATTAACCAAGTAATGCACCTTTTTTTCAAATTATATAATCTTTCTGTACGTTTATTCTATTGAAATAAACAACTTTAAGAATCAAGTAAATGATCATAGACTGTATTTTATGTCTTATATGGGGTCCACGGGAGATTAGAAATGTCCAATTTTTAATTATTGCAGCTTTCAAGTTTCTCAGGTGACTGAAATAAGAAGGAATATCATAATGGAACACTATGTTTTCCCATATGCTTTGCTTTCTTTATTTTAATGATTATGCGCTATGAGTTTACTGTACTATAATCATAACCACGGTGTTGTGGCATTCAATTTTTCTTGATATGAGAGCTTATGAGGATATTGCCTTCATTGCAACGTAACTCTAGAATACAAGTATATAGATTTTATGTTGCCTACAGCACTGCAAGTCGTATTTCTGGTGTGCCAATAGATCAAGATACATCGCTCCATTGGTTGGA